TTTGGAAATTTTGCGTATACCATAGGTAGGCTTATTTGTAATACAAGAGTGCTTGTTCCCAGTCCCTCTCTAGTCTCTCAGATTGTAACCTTTGATATGCATGCCAATTCGTAACCCCTTATGTGCATTTAAGTTTGTAGCCTTCAATGTACATATAAGTTTATAAACGCTGGTGTTTATACAACCTTTGATGTGCTAACAAGTTTGTAACCATTGATCTAGTGGTTACACTTTTGTAACCTTTGATGTGCATATATGATTGTAACCTCTGATATGCATATAAGATTGTAACCTTTGATGTGCATACACGATTGTAGCCTCTGATGTGCATACACGATTGTAACCTTTGATGTGCATGCACGATTGTAGCCTCTGATGTGCATACACGATTGTAACCTCTGATATGCATTCATGATTGTAACCTCTGATATGCATACACGATTGTAACCTCTGATATGCATTCATGATTGTAACCTCTGATATGCATACACGATTGTAACCTCTGATATGCATTCATGATTGTAACCTCTGATATGCATACACGATTGTAACCTCTGATATGCATTCATGATTGTAACCTCTGATATGCATACACGATTGTAACCTCTGATATGCATTCATGATTGTAACCTCTGATATGCATACACGATTGTAACCTTTGATGTGCATACACGATTGTAACCACCTCTGATATGCATACAAGTTTGTAACCTTTGAGGTGCATACATGATTGTAACCTCTGATATGCACATAAGATTGTAACCTTTGATGTGCATACACGATTGTAACCTCTGATGTGCATACTCGATTGTAACCACCTTTGATATGCATACAAGTTTGTAACCTTTGATGTGCATACACGATTGTAACCACCTCTGATATGCATACACGATTGTAACCTTTGAGATGCATACACGATTGTAACCACCTCTGATATACATACAAGTTTGTAACCTTTGAGGTGCATACACGATTGTAACCTCTGATATGCACATAAGATTGTAACCTTTGATGTGCATACACGATTGTAACCTCTGATGTGCATACTCGATTGTAACCACCTTTGATATGCATACAAGTTTGTAACCTTTGATGTGCATACACGATTGTAACCACCTCTGATATGCATACACGATTGTAACCTTTGAGATGCATACACGATTGTAACCACCTCTGATATACATACAAGTTTGTAACCTTTGAGGTGCATACACGATTGTAACCTCTGATATGCACATAAGATTGTAACCTTTGATGTGCATACACGATTGTAACCTCTGATGTGCATACTCGATTGTAACCACCTTTGATATGCATACAAGTTTGTAACCTTTGATGTGCATACACGATTGTAACCACCTCTGATATGCATACACGATTGTAACCTTTGAGATGCATACACGATTGTAACCACCTCTGATATACATACAAGTTTGTAACCTTTGATGTGCATACACGATTGTAAGACCCTTTTCTGCCTATACATATTTGTAGCCTTTAATCCACATATACAAGTTTGTAAGCTATGATACACATAATTTTGCAGTATTTGCTTTTGATGTACCCAGTGTATCATATCCATTCATTCATAGATTTGCCACATCAGAACTAACAGTTGAGATCTGTGGGCTTTGGGCAAGTTATTGCATTACTTGATCAAGAAAACCCTTCTCTATTAATTTAACGTATCAACTTTAACATGGGATTGATCAATGTGGATCAAATATTTTCATACCCTTTAATAAGTATTCATGTGGTGCTATCATTCCTTGCTTTATAGAGTGAAAGAGTGGGAAAATTAAGGAATAAAGTCAACAAGCATGAAATTCTTACTTTATTTGTTTGTAAAAATCCCAGAACATGTCATATTTTGTCAATTTACAGGGAAAAGTGGAGGATAAAGCATGGCCTATATATGAAATATTTGTGGGAATTCGTTCTGTAGAGTTGATGGAATTGATGCAGAAAATATGTCTTGATAGGTTACAAAGCTAAGATCAATACGTGGTAAACTTATCTGTTTGGCAGTCAATTGTTTCAGTATAGTAGTTGAGATGAATTCTATAGAGAATTGAAGTAAGTTCTAAGGTAATAAATATTTCATGGAAATTATATTCATGGAACTTCTTAGAATATTTCATAGTAAAGTATCTACCTTAAACACCAACTATGCAACCTGTCTAATCCAAACGCCAGTGAATTTAAGTGTTTGGATTGACAGGTGTTCACGTATCAAGGTATTTTAAATATATGAGTCAATGGGAGTCATCCATCCATTCGTCCATCTGTCCGGGCGATAACTCAAATACTGGTTGATGGATTTGATTTAAATTCTATAGGGGCCTATTATGTATATATGTCTTATGGGGGTGTAGGACCTCTGTTTGAGAAGGAATTTCCAATATGGCCACTCAATTCAAAATGGCATCTATTTTTAGAAAAAATTATCTTTGATAACTCAAATACTAGTCGATCAATTTGGTTCAAATTTTATATGCTGTTGCCTATGGACAAAGGAGCTTTGCTCAAGAAGACATTTTCAAGATGGCCGCTGAATTTCAAAGTGGCCACCATTTTTTGTAAACAACATAATCTTTGATAACTTAAATACCAGAGAATGGATTTGGTTCAAATTTTACATGCTGATGCATAGGGACAGAGGAGCTCTGCTCGAGAAGGGATTTTCAAGATGACAGCTAAATTTCAAAATGACCACCATTTTTTGTTGATAACTCAAATACCAGTTGACTGATTTGGTTCAAATTCTATATGTTGATGCCTAGAGACAAAGAAGCTTTATTCAAGAAGGCATTTTCAAGATGGCCACTGAATTTTAAAGAAGCCACCATTTTTCATTAAAAAACGTAATCATTGATAACTCGAATACCAGTGAATTGATTTGGTTCCAATTTTATATGCTGATGTCTAGGGACAAAGGAGATCTGCTTCAGAAGAAATTTCAAAGGCGTCCGCTGAATTTCAAAATGGCCGCCACTTTTCATAAGAAAAGGTAATGTTTGATAATCTTCGAAATCTCCACCACTTTTCATTGAAAATGTAATCTTTGATAACTTAAGTACCAGTTGACGGATTTGGATCAAATTTATATGCTGATGCCTAGGGATAGCAGCTCTGCTCAAAGATGGAAGCTGAATTTAAAAATGGCCACCATGTTTCATAAAAAACATAATCTTTGATAACTCAAATATGGATGGATTTGGTTCAAATTTTACATGGCGGTATTTATCAAAACATGTTTTGTCTGGTGGGTTTGCTACTCCGTGGAGTTGCTGTTTTTCTAGTAGTATTAAATAACAGACAAATAGATAAGGTGGTTCAAAAATTTTCTCTTTCACCAAACTTCATCTTGGTCAGAAAAGGGATCAGTGCCAATCAATAACCTATTACTTTAAGTGGCTCTTATTTGAGAAAGACTCAAGCAATATACTTTTTAATTATTCTACTTGAAAGAAGTACTGCAAAAGATTATGCTATTCTTTGACGGTGGTCTCCCAGCATTGATGCACCAATTTGAGATTTGGATGGCTTATACCCATTAAATCCATTTATCACCCTCTTGAAAATTCAAATGATTAATGCAGGTTGGTGCTGCACCTGGAAGCTATTTGCCATATACATGTTCATGTATTGTGTTTAAAATTTTCATCAGATAATACTGTCTTAGACATCAAATAGTGTGACTGCAGATTTCTTTTTTTCTTTTTTTACAGCAGATTTCAATGATAGCTATGGCTTTTTATGTCACTCCAAAAATGGTGACATGTTGTTATAGGTCTTCAACTTTTTATGGATGGTATCAGGCATTTGGCATTTGACAGTTCATTTTTTTAGACCAACATCTGTAACAAATGGCAGGTGGTGACATTTTGCTTGTTTATACCATGTTTGAGTTTGATAATAATTGTTGTTAAATGCTAGGATCAGAAAACTTTGAGAAAAAGTTTGAGAAAAAGTTAAATATTATTACAAAAAATTCTAAACATCCTTAAGGCAAGGGGCTACATGTATCAAGGGGGAGATTTCCCAAAGATGACCTTTCGTATTGGCACGTTCAAAACAAATTTTATTAACAGGCCTGACATTTGCCATTGAACTGAATCTCCAAATGTTAGCTGTAGTTTTATGAGTATTCTCTACAAGTATGGATCGAGTAACTTCAATAGTATTACTGTAGGTTTGAAATAATGATGTTGAACTGATGTTAACGCCATTCCCACGATTTCAAATTTAACTTTGGGCATGCGCAGCACTGAGAGAGCACGTGCTCATGATTGTTCACGTGATCACATCCTGCAATTTGATTGGAGATGATGCGGGAGATGACATAATGGGGAATCCCTGAATACGATAGAATATGAAAGAATTGTTGGAGCTACTCACTTCTTCTGACATGTTTTATAAAAATGCTCACGGAATGCTACTATCTTGATATATCACAGCCTACTATAAGTACCTTTATTAACAAGACAAAGATGGTCTGAGTATAAGAATGAGTGATTACATGACTGTACAGTACATGTGTTAGCAAACTTAATGTGTGAAGTGTATTATCTTCACAACCATACGATAGGATTTATAGGAAAATATTGAGATGTGCCTTAACTCACAGAATTGATATAAGATTTGGTTGCAACATTGTGTCCCATGTTACAAGAACCCATCAAGGTTTCTCCTGTATATTGTGATAGTGCTCAGCATGGAATTTGGCAGTAAAGTATATTGTACTATACTTTTATGGTAAACAATATGTTGTATTTAATAGGTTTACTGTATAAAGTGTATTGTATGAGATTTTAGTATTTGTCTAACTGTACATTTTACATGACTAATACAATCATGTATAATATACAATGTGAATAAAAGTTTAATACTTACTCTAGTTTACTGTACAATATACAGTACGAGTTTTACTATATATTGTAATACTTTTGTTTCACATTTTACACTTTTTAGTAATTTATTTTTATTTTTGCTTTCAGGACTTGTAAAGTTGGCCACACATTGTATAACAGGACGTAAGGTGGCCATTAAAATTGTCAATCGAGAAAAGCTGAGTGAATCTGTCCTAATGAAAGTAAGTCAAATTATGTAATTGTAATGTTAATATGGCACAATTTTGTCAGCAATCCTGGTGATGATTATTGATTTATTTTATGTTGTTTTGCTGTTCCCAAGGAGATTGAAGTAGGATATTGAGATTGTAGTTTAGGGGTGGGATTGAAACATGGTGGTACTCAGTATAAGTTTGGCATTGAAACATGGAAGTACTCAGTATAAGGTTGACATTGAAACATGGAAGTACTTGGTATAAGTTTGGCTTTGAAACATGGAAGTACTCAGTATAAGGTTGATATTGAAACCTGGAAGTACTCAGAATAAGGTTTGCATTGAAACATGGAAGTACCCAGTATAAGGTTGGCATTGAAACATGAAAGTACTCAGTATAAGGTTGGCATTTAAAGATGGAAGTACTCAGGATAAGGTTGGCATTGAAACATGGAAGTACTCAGTATAAGGTTGGTATTGAAACATGGAAGTACTTGGTATAAGTTTGGCATTGAAACATGGATGTACTCAGTTTAAGGTTGGCATTGAGACATGGAAGTACTCAGTATAAGGTTGGCATTGAAACATGAAAGTACTCAGTATAAGTTTGGCATTGAAACATGGAGGTACTCAGAATAAGGTTGGCATTGAAACATGGAAGTACCCAGTATAAGGTTGGCATTGAAACATGAAAGTACTCAGTATACGGTTGGCATTTAAAGATGGAAGTACTCAGTATAAGGTTGGCATTGAAACTTTGAAGTACTCAGAATAAGGTTGGCATTGAAACATGGAAGTGTACTTAGAGTAAGGTTGTCATTGAAACATGGAAGTACTCGGAACAAGTTTGGCATTGAAACATGGAAGTACTCAGTATAAGGTTGGCATTGAAACATGGAAGTACTCAGTATAAGGTTGGTATTGAAACATGGAAGTACTCAGAATACGGTTGGCATTGAAACATGGAATTACTCAGAATAAGGTTGGCATTCTAACATGGAAGTACTCAGTATAAGTTTAGCATTGAAACATGGAAGTACTCAGTATAAGGTTGGCATTGAAACATGGAAGTACTCAGAACAAGTTTGGCATTGAAACATGGAGGTACTCAGAATAAGATTGCCATTGAAACATGGAAGTACTCAGATTAAGTTTGGCATTAAAACATGGAGGTACTCAGAATAAGGTTGGCATTGAAACATGGAATTACTCAGCGTAAGTTTGGCATTGAAACATGGGGTGAGAATCATTGGGGAATGGGATAATGATCACTCCAATTGAAATTTGAGATTGTTATGTCCTTATGTCCCAATCCCATATCCTTAGCTGTCACTTGCAGATTCTGATGACTGATGTTGTGTCATTTTCATTGATCATTATACTCACCAATTAGTTTGCTGCATTTGAACAAAGAATAATGGCCTTCATTAGATAATAATTACTTGCACAAAAGTTTCATTGTGTGTTACTCAAGATTACATCAAAGGGAATTCTAACAGGTTTAGAAAATCAACTTCTGTGTAAGCTTGCCTCTGTGTAATGGTGTATACACGTGGGACCTCCTTCCTCTGCTCTATTCTGTATGGAAGGAAATTAATAAAGTCTGTATTGGATGTAGCATACCAGCATACTGCATGAATTTTACAGAGATTGGCTCGCAGTAGTAATGTACCTTCTCTCCCGTATCTGTTTTAAAGGAATACTCATCCCACCATTTTGTTAACTAAAGTCTTAACTTTAATTTACTTTAAAAAGTGCTATAATTGTCTCCCTGTGATGATGGGAATGCATGCTTATTTCATTTCTGACTCCCAACTAGAACTTACCATCCCGCATTCCTGTCTCGCAACTAAAACTTATCTTGCTATATCTGGCCCACAACTAAAACTAAACTTGCCATCCCTAGCCAAGAACTTAAACTAAACTTGCCATCCCTAGCCACAAATAAAACTAAACTTGCCATCCCTGGCCACACCTAAAACTAGACTTGCCATCCCTGGCCCACAACTAAAACTAAACTTGCCATCCCTGGCCACAACTAAAACTAAACTTGCCATCCCTAGCCAACAACTAAAATTAACCTTGCCATCCCTGGCCCACAACTAAAACTAAACTTGCCATCCCTAGCCAAGAACTAAAATTAAACTGGCCATCCCTGGCCCACAACTAAAACTAAACTTGCCATCCCTAGCCAAGAACTAAAATTAAACTTGCCATCCCTGGCCCACAACTAAAATTTAATTTACCATCCCTGGCCCACAACTAAAATTTAACTTGCCATCCCTGGCCACAACTAAAATTAAACTCGCCATCACTGGCCCACAACTAAAACTAAACTTGCCATCACTGGCCCAAATCTAAAATCAAACTTGCCATCCCTGGCCCACAACAAAAAATAAACTTGTCATCCCTGGCCACAACTAAAATTAAACTTGCTATCCCTGGCCCACAACTAAAACTAAACTTGCCATCCTTGGCCCACAACTAAAATCAAACTTGCCATCCCTAGCCAAGAGCTAAAATTAAACTTGGCATCCCTGGCCACAACTAAAACTAAACTTGCCATCCCTGGCCCACAAGTGAAATTAAACTCGCCATCACTGGCCCACAACTAAAACTAAACTTGCCATCACTGGCCCACAACTAAAACTAAACTTGGCATCCCTGGCCACAACTAAAACTAAACTTGCCATCCCTGGCCCACAAGTGAAATTAAACTCGCCATCACTGGCCCACAACTAAAACTAAACTTGCCATCACTGGCCCACAACTAAAACTAAACTTGCCATCCCTGGCCCACAACTTAAACTAAACTTGCCATCACTGGCCCACAACTAAAATTAAACTTGCCATCCCTGGCCAACAACTAAAATTAAACTTGTCCTCCCTGGCCCACAAGTGAAATTAAACTTGCCATCACTGGCCCACAACTAAAACTAAACTTACCATCCCTGGCCTACAACTAATTACCATCATAGCCTCAAAACTGTTCATTCATTAATTTCTTGTCAAATTTCACAAAAACCACGCATTATCTGAGAAGCAATTCCAATTATTTTTGTAGAAATAATTCACTGGTAAGAGTACACTGAAGTATGATGTTTAAACCTACTGTTTCTTGGTTCCATTATTGAACCATTCATATGGGAACACATATATGTATGTATTCACCATTCAGTCATTTTGACATATAGTGGTGATGCTCAATCACAATCGATAAACCAGTTAATATTTTAGGAGGAGTGTCCCTGCATTAGAATTCAACTCTTTTTGTACAATAAATGCAAGACTGAAGGAGAAAGAATGACCAAAGTAGGCAAAAGTGAAGTCAAAGTATTGTGCTGGAAGATGGAAACATTGTTTATGAAGAAAAAACGCATAAGGGGGAAATGGTGAAATGAATGATCATACTCAGAGTGAAAAGTTTGTAAGGTTTTAAGAGAGAATCTGTTCACAAAGATCAATACTCAACACATTCTATGCAGAGCTGTTGGAAGACACATGTGGCTAAAGCAATACTATAGAATAGTTTCTTAGTAAATAATTTCAAAAGCATTCTTGAGCTCTTTTCTTACCCCTGGATAACCTTCTAATTTCCTTTCTTAATTTCCCATTATTTTCCATATTTCTTTTTCATTTTTTTCATCCTTTCCATGTTTACCATTTTCCATCTTCCCAAAACTTTTCCTATTTAATTCAAACCTCAGCCTTATTGTTTTTGTCACGTAAAAGATATCATAGTATCAAGTCATGACAATACCATGTCTCAATTTACTAGACGCAAGTAGAAAATACCTTGATTTACTTCATTAGAAATTCAAAATTCAGTCAAAGTGATATCATTTTTGACATCTGAAAATGTGGTTTTAAAAATGTTTACCAACTTTGAAAAATTTAATTTTCTTTGAAAATGTGACTTCTAGGTTGGAGAACTCGGAGAGATTCCCTATAGACCCCATGTTATAAAATCACAAAACATGAAATATTTTTTCTTGTGTTGGAGAGATACTGGAGATATTTTAATTTGTTTAACTATCAGATACATAAAGGATGTTATTATCCTACACTTAGTGTACTAAATGTATAAAATAAAAAAGGTATAAAAGCGGAGCGGAGTATATCATTACAATATCCTCCTCATATTGGTTTTCTGGAGTATATCATGGCGATATCTTACACACATTAGTTTACTTGAGTAAATTATTGAGAGATTATTTAATCTGAGGTTTTTGATACAGGATTTACTTGAGGGAAATACAATATATCTATTGTTTATACCCATACTGTACTGTTTGTTTATATCGTTTAGTGCACAAAAATTCCTGGGGATTGCTCATGAGTGGGTGATATATATCTCCCACTCACCTCAGCGGGGGATATACATATCACCCGCTCACCTCCGATATCAATTTATTCCCACATGTTATTTAACTACATGTATAACACTACTAAGTATGGGATAGCATCCTGGAGATAACATCCAGTTATTCATTTTGCCAATAGATGTCAAATTTATTTTTTAATGATATTATACATTTTGTATACTAAGTGTGGGATAAATAAGGGAAAATTGAATCACTAAAACTGATGAATGCTTACGTTTAAAGGAACTCTTTAATACCATCCCATGTTATCTGGCCCGACTTAGCCACCTGGTGGAGAAACTGATAACTACCTACTTGCACCCAGGTTATTAATTCAAAATTTAAGGATTTAAACCCTGGACTCAGAGCAATGTGGAATGACCATTTCTTGAAGGTGTTACTTTCCAAATTTTGCACGAGACACGGAGCATCAAGTGCAAATTTTAGGAAACAAAGCCTGAAAGAAAACTAAAATAAACAAAAATAAAAAATCGTAAAACTTCACCAATAAAAGGTGAAATGGATTTGTCAAAATGAAAAAGTTCCCTTTTATAAATTAAATGCATGGTGATTTGTACTTCACTGTTGCTACATAAATAGGCAGACGTCTTTACATATTGCCCTCAACCTGTGTACCCTTGAGTATTTTTCCGGGATTGCACCC